TGCTCTCCTCAGCTGCCAAATGACAGTGTGCTCAGGCTGAATGGATGGTGTTCACTTCTTCTAGCCATTTCTCCAGCCATAGGAGGTGCCACACTCCAAACTCTGGCCACAGCATCCTCTGCCTGGACGTCATGTGCCTCTACACATCACCGACAGGAGCCCTTAGTCCTTGGAGCCTTCGTGGAAGATGACTGCTGCTGTTGCTTATGATCCTTTATCATTCCTTTTAAAGTATAATTTAATTTTGCTGTGCAAGTGTGTGAGCCAGTTAGAGCAACAGTATAGAGAGGAGAGGGAGAGAAAATGAGAAGAAAAGAGAAGGAGTCATCTCTGGATTCATATCTTTGTACTTTTCAACACTAGCCATCTCAACCAATCCCATCACCTTCCTAGTGAGGAAACTGAGGTCCATGGTGAGGTGCTGACCCAAGTTTCGAGGCAGAACCACCTCTATACTTCCTCAGCACCTGCAGTCCATCAAGACTCACCAGGACTTATTTATGAAAACACGGGACACTCAGCAGTGTGTTACCTCGATGTGGGAATCACATAGGCAGTGGCTGCAGGACAAGGGGCAGTGGCCTTTGGAACCAGCCAGGCTGGAGGACATCAGAACTCCGCTGTGTACAGCTACAATAACCGAGAGCACCCTTTATAAGTATAATTTACTGGACTGGGGATGTAGCTCAGCTGTAGGGCCTGACATGTGCAAAGTCCCTGGGTTCAAAATGAAACATTATCTTATACACTTATGGGGCTGGGTAGCTAAGAATGCCTGCCTTATAGAGCTATTGGGAAGAACAGGCAACCTGAAGAGACAAAGGGTACTGATAGGAACATAGAAACAGTACTGGAGATTGAACCCAGGGCTTATGCACAGACTTACATCTTAGCCCTGTTTTTATTTTTTATTTTGAGATGGAGTCTTATTAAGTCACTAAGTTGCCCAGTTGGGCTCGAACTTGCAATCCTCCTGCCTCAGCCTCCCAGAGTGCTGGGATTATAGGTATGGGCCACCATGCCCAGGTAGAAGAAATAATTTAATGTTCTATAACCCAACAGAGTCATCATGACAGGCAGCAATAAGTTACATATTTCAAAATAGCTAATGGAGAGGATTTTGACTATTCCCAACAGAAAGAGGTGATAAATGTCTGAGGTGAGGTGACAGATATACTGATTGCCCTGAGACAATCATTACTCAACTGTTGAAATGTCACACTGAAGCCCGTAAGTATGCATAATATTTATGTGTCAATTAAAAAAAAGATATATATCAGCAATAAGTTACATATTTCAAAATAGCTAATGGAGAGGATTTTGACTATTCCCAACAGAAAGAGGTGATAAATGTCTGAGGTGAGGTGACAGATATACTGATTGCCCTGAGACAATCATTACTCAACTGTTGAAATGTCACACTGAAGCCCGTAAGTATGCATAATATTTATGTGTCAATTAAAAAAAAGATATATATATAT